GAAAATTATATCAAATTCACGATACCTTAGTTTATGCCAGAGCTGCGGGTTTACGGTATGCACTAAAAATAGCGGTACCCATAAAACTGCTCGGTGAGAATCGCCACGAGACCTCGAGGACGTACGGTTTACAATTCGCGGCTGTCTTGTAACCTAAACACTGATGGACTCGTCAAAATTCTAAGAACGTGTTTCAGTAGAAAGTTATTCAGCCGGAAGGTAATCAGACTGGAAAAGCTACAGTCAAAACGGTTCGGAAAATTTTCGACAGACTATTTTAAAGCCAAGGGAAAAACGACAGACGTAAACCGCGTTATGTTGTTTATCGAGAATGTATAACGATAATGACGCATTAAATGTTTTTGATATATCGAGTACTTACAATATCTGTGTTCGGTATGACAGAAGACCAGTAACCCGTGTTGAAAGGGTTCATCTTGAGACGATTGTTTACGTGTCGTCGATGCTTGAATCGTTGAAAAATCACCACTTTACCACCGGCTCATCATCCTGCATTACTTTCGTACACGTATCTATTGATGTACCGTTGATTTTCACGCACAAAATCGTGTAATCACGCGTGTCTGCGCTCGCGGTCGACCCTTGGAATCCATGACAGGTACGAACACGGGTATGGCCGTGAGCCGCATGCGCCACAGCAGAAGTTATCACGCTCTACCACCGAAACAAGCGGGCAATATGTAGATGAGAAACTCCGCTTCGAATTTAAATTTCTTCTTCAATTTCATGCTGGTTCAATCGTATTCTCTCGCGAAAACGTTATTAATCCAACAGATTAAAGTAATCGGTGCACGTTCTTTTTCCTCTTCTCTTTTGTGACTACTTTCAATTCAATCCGCGTCAAATCAATTACTCGATCGATTTTGGAAAGAATAAAATTATAAGGCAAACATGATTCAAACATATTATTAAATTTTGTCTTATTTTATAATTCTTATATGCACGTTGTTGCTTAAGTATTAAAAGTTTTAAAAGTATTAAAAATTTAATTCGTTTAATCTTGACTTCCGGTATATGCTACTTGCGATGAGTATTTATTTAAAATATTTGTTTGATATACCAATTGTTACTATACGTGTTTGACAAAAATTGATATTTTTATTTAATTATAAAATTTGTATTAAATAAATTATTAAATACATATTTCAATGCAAATATTATTAAACAATTTCAAATTTCATCGATATCGACCCAAGCTGCGCACAATCAATGCGCAGTCGATTTACCTCCCCTTGCGCGTGAACAGCATCCATTAGTCTCCTTACCCCGCGAAATCCGGCACGCGTCATTGTGTAATCGGTAGTATAATTTTTCAAAAATAAGTGTGAAAGTGCATGTGTACCTTGGATTATTAACCCACAACACTTCTACGCATCTTGGATAATCAACCCACAGCACTGGTAAGTACCTTGGATTATTAACTAACAGAATTTATGAAACTCAAGAATTGAGCGGCGGAGGGGGATCTCAATGAGATACCTCTCAATGTTCGATGATTGATTTCAATATTGATTGACACACACTATGTGTTCTATTACAAAGTCATACCACTTTTTGCACAAATCTTAAACATATTATTACATTTTATGTTTGTATGGAATCTTTGAATTCGCTTCAGTACGCTTTCGTTCGAAAACGACCGTTACAAAATTTTCGCCATAACGCCATCTTAAGTTCTCCTGTTATATCAAGATACGTTTGAATCTTAGTATGAAAAAACTGAATATCGTTGAAATCAATCATTAAACAATTGATTTGAAAGATACTAACAACTTAAATTACATACATGTTTTATTATGCATATGAATTTTAACATAGAGAGACAAACTTATTCCTTTACAAACGAATTCTCTATTCATTTCCAATAAATGACAACAAATGTTTATGTTAACATAAAATTTGTTAAGCGCATTAATCATGATCATTAGCAATTCTTATATTTTTCTCGCCATATCGATACCAAAGAGGTCACCATATTTTTTAATCTCATAAAAAAAGGAAAATTATTAATATACAATTATGAAATACAATGTTGTACAGCATGTATAAATTTACAATTAAAATCTACATCAACGTATGAAATTACAAACGTTAATCCTTAGAAAGAATTTCACTAAAACTCAAATAGAATAAAATATTGTATAAAAGCTTCTTAAATAGGGCACACGTACACTACAATAAGGTATAACACATGATACGAGAAATCATATGATAAAAAACATTGGCACAAAAGGATATTTTCCTCTTGGTATCTATTGTTACTTTTCTTATCCACACGATAGCTTCTGAGTATTTCAGAAAACTGTTCAGAATATGCGCCACAAAGAGAAACAGTTGAGTGAATTGTATTTATGCATTGAGATTACTCATTTACAATTAATGTAATAAGACATCATTAACATCGTGTCTCATATAAACCACTTCTGCCAATATATCTCACCCATTTTATAACATCATGATCAGAATAGTTTAACTTGGACTCAAACACCTTCAAATAGCGCACTTTAAATCCAGATGGTGCGAATGGAACTTCGAAATTCATTGATATTGGGGGTCGTGTCCATTTCTTCTTCGTGTCGGTTTCAAGCAAATCGATTTCCGCAGATAGTTGAGTTTCTTTCATTCCAGCCATTCGTTTAATTTTCCATACAATTGCATTTTCAGATGCTTTGTATTTCGCTTTTCCTTTCAAGCAAATCAATTGTACGCCTGCAGTATTTAGAGGTGTAGGTACTCGTACCTCTATCTTTTGCCCTAACAAAGAAGGCTTGAAATTCGATTTTAGTACTGCTTTCACTTCCATTTTTGTACGTCCCACTTCACGTACCAATGGAATAACACGGAATGGCAATGATATATCCTTAGTTGTTCGATATCTATGAATAATTACCAAAGCAAAATGTTAGAAAGTTCAGTTGTATAAGGACAATTCAATTTGGAATATTTACTTTGAACATTCTTTACCTCATGAGTTCAAATTCTCCATCAGGTGGTATAAAACTAATAGCATGTTCTGTCTCGAATTTACTAAGTTTCACACACTGATGGAATTGGCAGTCATCAATTACAACAACAGGTTTTCCAGATCTAGCACCAGTAGGATCATCTCCCCCTCCTCCTAGTCCACTTCCACCTTTCATACCTTTGGCTTCCATTACAATTTTATCATTGATCCCAAACTTGCATTCTGGCATTCCAGATAAATAAGATTTCATTACAACCTGTTAGAAAAAGATATTAAACAATTAAGTTTTTGAGTACTTGAGCATTTTGAATAATTGCTGCTCAAATAACAACCTTGCCAGCAACATGTGCACTAAGCACTTGACCCTGAGGACTCATCAATAGATTCACATATTCAAGAACATCCAGGAATAATTCATTGCGTCTGTACTTGATACCTTCTCTTCTCCACCCAATCTGGCCAGTTACTTGTGAAGTTATTTGTGCCTGTTCTTCTTTTGTTGCTGACTTTACTCCTTGTTGAGTAATGAATGTTTTTAATACTCCAGTGTCACAGTTCTGTGGATATCCAAAGTCCAAAATTTCTGCAGAAAAATTTTCATTAGTTTTCCCAATGTTAGTTAGATTTTTATTATTCAACATTGTTTATGTTACAATACTAACCATCCAACAATTCATAAATCAACACAAAGTTATTCTTGATATTTTCTTCTGATATCTTCCCAAAATATGACTGCATAACATCAATAATTTTTAATAAGAATTCAAACACCATTGCTGCATTAACATTTTGCTTGGTAACAGCAGCCAACCAAATATTAGCACGTTTTATGTGAAAGAATGATGTTCTAGCAATGTTGGTAACTGGTGAGCGTACTTGTTGCCTGGCATGGATAACATTGACACGAAATGCATCAACTGCATTTCGTCCAATGTCATCTCTGTACACTCTGGAGATGAGTACTTCTCCCTTATGGTTGTACACGAATAAACCCCCTATCATCTTGACAGAGGGTGTCCCTTTTTATTTTAACTACAACCAATCTACAAACATAAAGATTTTATATAAATATAAATTTATAGAAATGATCAGGAAAAGTGTTTTATTTAATCAGGGTTGCAAATTAATTTTTTTTCAAAAACAGATTTTAATAAAATGTACATACTATGAGGAACATAATAATTAACTTATATGGTACATGATAAGATAGTACAATCTTTCTGAATTAACTTTATATTGAGACTGTATGAATGATATAAAGATCTCCTATAAAATTTAATTAAAAAATTTATGCAAAAATTAATATAAAATTCTCGTGTGATATAGGCATTAGAATATAAATAAAAAATATAAATATATATGTGGAAGATAACGCCCCTTTTCTTAAATGACATTTGAGGTTCTTTTAATATGTCTTGTAAACGGTTAGTATTATTGATCGGAAATGAATGGTCTATACAGCAGGCATTAGGATTATCAAGGGTTCCCCAAAAATTCGGATACGTTAAGTACTTGTAACTATGAATTTCGAGATTACAGAAGATCACTTACGCATGACTCTAGCTGCAAATAAAAATTATGTGATACTAATTTGTATCAGCCTCCGAAACTTACGGTAACAGTACCAACCTACTGATACAAGTGCAAACTATTAAATGACGAAAGCAACACCCACTTCTTTGTACTACGTGTCTCAGAAATACATTATTACAATATGTTATATTTGCAATGACAATTGCTTCTCAAAATATATAGCAATTAAATTCTTTTAAGTTTAGATTCTTCCTTACAACGTTGCAACCATAAACACAATAATTATACATTTATAGAACAAATAGGGTTGTTGTATTGATTTCAAAACCGGTAGTTGTACATTTATAATGAATAATATAATCACTATAATGATAATATAATATTAAGTGATATTCCAAAATTAATTTGCTGTTCGAATCCTTTATTTTCATTTATAAAATCATTTTTTGATTAGATTGATTAGAATTCTATTATTATGAATGGCTTTCAATTATCATGATTGCACACTTTTGATAAGTTTGAAAATACCCATTTCACTCCTTATTTTAATTCCGAACATGCGACATATTTTAATCCGACAAAATACAAAGTTCAATAAAATTTGTATAAAAAGCAGGTTTATGTCTGGAAGATAATATATCAGATATATATTTGTATCAACGCTTGCGTACTGTAATATCTTTGAAGGCATGTGTTCCTAGTATTACAAAATGTTTGAATATTAAAACATCGAACATTGTATAGTTATGAGATTGTAATTAAAGTGACAACACTTGCAATTGTGGCAATGGCTGATCAGGATGCGAATAATAATAACCTTCCATTAAGGGAAAATTTAGTAAGTTTTCGTTATTCTTAGGTTATATGTTTATAATTATATATATAGATAGTTGAAGGTCTTAAAAAAAGAAATTGAAAGTATATTCATAAAAGTAAAATCGTACGGTGAATAATTTATATAAGCATTAGGAATAAATTAAATTATGCAAATTAAAGTTAACAACAACTTTTTCTTCAAGGTAAAAACTGCTGTGGAGTTTTTAAAAAATCCTAAAGTATCGGGTAGTCCTATAAGTCCTAAAAAGGAATTTCTTAAAAAGAAGGGTTTAACAGAGGATGAAATTAACAAAGCCTTTAAATTAGCCTCTGTTGATGCCACGGTTGATCAAGGTGTTGTTCATAATTCAAGTGATTATACTGTTGTTCCAATTCCACCACGTCAAGTCTATCCATATTTACAAACATATCCATATCAATTAACTCCTTTCCAAAAAATTAAAGAATTTTTTAACACTGCTGCTTTAATTGGAGCTACTGTATATTGTGTTTATTGGTTTTATAAGGTATTACTCTTACATAGAAAACAAGCACCTTGATATCATACAGCAAATTAATTGGAATACATATTTCAGAAATTTATTAAACCACTTTTATTTGGGAGAAAAAAGAAAGATAGTATACAAGATTCAGTCAATGAATTAGATAAGACAATTCAAAATTCTATGAAAGAAGTAAAACAGTCTATTTCAAAAGTTGAGGATGATGTGCAAAAGTTGACACAGAGTCATTCAATTGACCCAATAATACCACAGTTGGTACAAGAACTGAAACAAGATTTAGCTAGTCTCAAATCCTTACTTTTATCAAGGTATAATATATTATAGGTATCATATAATCATATACTTAAGCATCACTGGAATACAACATATAATGAACAAATTAAATAGTAACATTTATTGCTTTATAAGATAATTATTTTGTTTACATATCATTTGCTATTTCATCTTTTAATTTATACATTTACATTAGGATATATATGTCTTTTTACAAAAGTTTTATTTTTATTATTTTTCGTATTAACGCATACACATATACATATTTTGGACTCAGTCACACAGACATATTTTTTTCAAAAATACAAAAGTAAAAATCTTTCGAAAAAAAAAAGAAAAAAAATCACTACAAAATACATCAATCAGCTTCTGATCGATTACAAAAAAAAATATATGTAAAAAGGGGTCCTAGATTTAATATTTTCGTATCATTTCATAATTAGTATCACGAAAAAACGAGATAGAGTCATCTCATAAATTTGTACTTAGGAATCCAAATAATTCACAAGTGCTTGTGTTATTATTTACCCGAACTTTAAATTTTAAACAGAAAACAATTTCCAAGTGCGCCGGCATCTGTACCGTCTATATCTATTCCATCATGGCAATTAGATGCTGCAGGTACAAATCAAGATAAACCAAGTGAACGAGAAGATGATGCTGGAAGTGGAAGTAGTACTAATAACTCAGATAGTTCTCTGGAAATGATTCGCGAGGATCCTAAGGTGTAAATTAAAAATACTACAAACATTCACTTCCATCATAAAAATCTTCGATATGCAGAATATTCTGTGATGTTTATTCAAAGAAATATATCAATTATATTCTGATCATATGTAATATATATAAATATATATATATATATATATTAAAGTCGATGTTCTCAGGCTTAATTTAAGCTTAAACTTGTCCAGCATTATTTTAACTTTGTACTGTAAAATCGAATTAAAATCATTTTTATTCTTACAAATGGTACTGAAGGTTATTTATAAAACAAAACGATACATGTAAGGCATTACTTTTTACGTAATATTAAATGTTATAAACGGTGGTTGTTACTTAATGTTTCTTTTTTTTAAATCCTAGAAAAATTAGCATTCATTTTTTTCCCTTCAGTTGATTAGCATCGATGTTCCATCCCTGCTTTTAAAGGCCTCGTATATTGTTTAATCATTTTTATGCAAATAAAACGAGAGAATTATGTAAGAAATAAGATCGTTCTTTTAATGTCCTTCGTAATGCTAGCACGCATTGCTGTACGATATTATCTATTATATAACACAAATAATCTGATAAAAATATTTAACAGTGTACTAGGAAAGGTATACAAACCAAAAATACGTACTATTTTTACAAACTAAATATGTACATTTTAATCTGTACTTAAATTTAAAAGGACAATCGCGATACACAAAATCACATTAAGCCATTAACTAGATTTATACAACAGATTGTTTCCTTTTTTTTTGCACTATATATTTGAAATTAAAAAATTAGTATTTCCTTGACATATACATATATTTGCATGTATGTGACAGCAAGACATACATACAAGTACATACAGACGTATTATGTACAGAAAGACGTTATTTTATTGGGTGTGGTATAATCCTGCGCTAATCTATATCTATTACCCATGGCAATCTTATTTTGGATTAAATTACAATTAGTAATATAAATCCACGTGAGCAACTCGTTTGATGCACGTCAATAAATAAACAAATGTTCTCAATTGCATTACGATTTATTTGAGAACAAATTATTTTCTTACGCACATGGGCATTATCCTTTTTCAATCAAAATTTTATAATTAAGTAAAATTAACATTTATATATATTTATATACATATATGTATATATGCATATATAAATATTATGTAAAAATCATGTTCAATGATTTTTAATTACACCGTTCATTCATACAAATCAATGTTTCTTACAACAAATACATCCTTTCTCATAGTATGTACAAATTGTATAATATTTACTAGTACTTTTGGATGATTAAACAATCGAACAAAGTATACAGCTATGCATATGATTACATTGTTTTCCTTTTCTTTTTTTTTTTTACTGTAACTTTATTCGCCTATGTTTCTGACGTATTAACATCGTACATCGTATTTTAAATAATTCTAATCTTCTCAAAAATCTGATGAAATCAAATCGCCTCTTTGTAATTTTTTAATACTTCCTTTTATTATTAGATATAATCAGGATAGCTGCCTCACTGATACAGTGAGTTACAGCCAAGTCCGCTTAAAGTGACTTAGTATATTTTCTTTTCTTTTGTCTGTTTTTTTTTTTCCTTTTCGTTACACTATACCCTAGATTTAATAATATTATATATAACAGAAATAATTCGTTCAAAAAATATAACACTTTTCTTTATCATGTGTGGCAAAGTACTTAAAATGTTCAATATAGTTTTACTTAGAACAAAATTATTCGGAGAGATATAAATCTACGTTACTTCGAAATCACGATCTTTGGCAAATACATTATTTTTAAGAAATCATGATATACATGTGTGTGTTGTGTATATGTATATACGTATACACTTATATTATTGCCCACACATGAACGTAACGAAAATATTCCACGATGTTTTTTGTGCTGACATAAATAGTTTGGTTGAAGGTCCCACTCCCTTTTTGAAACTTACTCGCTATGGTTCCGTTTTTGTTTAACGAGCGTAGAAAATGAGGACAGGGTCAAGGGATCATTGTCTCATAATTCAGGCAGCATCCTAACGTCTATTATCAGTAACAATAATAATCCTAGGTTAAACACGCTAATCTGTTTTTGTAGTTCAATCTCTAATAAATCTAATATATTAATTAATCCAGACTATGCTACCATGTATGATCTAAATGTAAATTTCTTGAAAGAACGGACCGCACGTCTTGCGTGAAACGTAGTGCATCCAAAACTGGAAGTAAACTTAATAGAGCAGTATCTCCCGCGTCGCTAAACCATGACTTTATTGGTATTGCATTATCTGCGGTAACAGAAAACAAAAAAAAAATTGGATTCGATTTGTAGAAAGTCGTTTCTTAAAAATATTTGACACACGCGTCTAATATCTCTAAGTTTCAAACTATTTGTAGAAAATAAAAGTATCAAAAAGTATAGTTGTCTAATATAACATCCAAGAAAAGTTTCACAGTATTCGCTAGTATAAACAGAAGAATAAATACAATTACATTTCGTAGAAAATGAATAAATAGACGATGAAGATTGAACTACGATTTTCTTGGATGCTGCAAGTAAAAAACTTGGTGTATAAAAATAAAATCTAGTCTTTGAACTAGTACCTGATGCACAGGGATTATTAAAAAAAATGATCAAAACAGCTGAAATTATTTCATTGCCGATTCGGCGTAGTGTCCAGTGCTTATTCAAGTGGAGGAGCATTGGCAACTGAGCATATTTTACATCTATCCATAGGCCTGTATTCAGTGCTTGCTTACAGAGCATCAACGCTGATAGCTGCAAATAGACATCATTTTCAATAAGAATTACCTGGACCCTTCAATTTTTTTATTGTTTATGTATCCCGTGAAAAACTATCGAACAGATGTAAGCCTAAGAGCTAAATAATTCGAAACAAGATTAGAGGAATAAAGATGCCAATGTTCTCTGTTATTAATACAGCGTCGCGAGTCGAAAATAATCATGACAACGATAATAATAATAACATCAACAACAATAATAACAGCAACAAAGACATTGAAATCACGTGTACACATGGATACGTATCAGAAACATATTTAATGAATAAAACTTTCAACCCCTGCATTTTAGGTATTTCTCTATGAAGAAGTTATTTGCAAATGATTATGCAACATTCGTATTGTTAATTTAGATTGAAGTTGGATTTTATCACTACTTATAGTTGTGCACATGTAAGCAAGTTCTGACTACAGGTCGTGATATGTGATATATGATACAGTAGCATTAGATCATCCAGGCAATTTTATGAATGTACATAATAAATGTGTGTTAAATGCGCGTAATTGTTACCGTATCATGTACACATTAAGAATTAAACAAATTTACAATACATAATTCTTCGTAATACGTATTAAATGGATGAGGAAATTAAAAGAAATTATGTTAAATCAGACAACTATAAAATTAAAATTAATATTATTGCATTTAAGAAAGAGATACATGTATATACTTACGTGGATAAGCTCTGTAGGCTCCTGGGCTATTATCAAGTATAAAGACTGATGCTAGATCTGAACAAATAGCAGACAGATCTTTAGTATAGGAACCCATTTCTGGTGTACAATGTTGTCTATAATATCTGCGCCTTAAAATACCCCTGTTGTTATCTAACTTATCTGCAACAGCTGCTCCATAGATTTCCATGGAAGCAGTGAAGACCACTAGCTCATACCTAAAAAGAAGTTGATGATTTTGTAGAAAAACACAATCATAGGGCAATGATGAAAGGTCACCTTCTGTTGATCAGACTTACCATTGACTAACAATGTCTAAAAAAAAGTCTACATGTGGTCTTTTGTGAACAAAAAATCTAACTGGATGTCTGTCTATTGTCACTTTAAGAATAAAATCTGGAGGTGTACCAGGCCTAACTGTGGGCCTTGCTACTCCATCGTGATGAGAATGAATTAATGTTTCATCTAAATCCAATACTAATACTTTCCTCTTAACTATACCTGCAATATACTTTGGTTACATGCAAATAGTAATACCTTTTATTATTACAAGTAATACAAGTGGTTAAAGGATGACAATACTTACTAAGCCTATGCCTTGATAGTGGAGATAATGGGAAGATCTCATATTTAACAGGTTGCATTTGTGATATCTAAAACAGGAACAATTAATAGTATACCATATGTGTAATCAACACAATTAAGCAAATAACTACGATTTTATTATCGAAATTTATACATCAAATAAATCGTGAATGAAATAATGTGCATATCACAATGAAACAACAAAAATGAAGAAATTCTCATGATAAATGAAATATCGACAATCATGCTTGATTCATGAATTTTGATACCAGAATTACACGTATTATCAGATCGAATACTTGAACGAAATCGAAGATACATCACTAGACATACAACATTATCACAACACGACCGACCATGAGAAAATGTTTACTGGAACCGGCAAAAATTTTCTGAAACTCAAGAAAAGTGTTCTGATAATGCTCGATACCTAGAATGACGGAATGCTGAAAGGATATTATGTTTTATAAATAATGAACGGAAAAAAAAGGCAGATAGAGGCGCGAAGCACCTACTTACGGCTCTAACCTGCTTCTTGAGGAGAAAGCAGACGCATGTCCACACACGGGAGGCCATCAAGAGGAAAGCTCTCATCCCCATCTGCAATTGCTTCAGCATCTCTACTGTTCTTCTCACCGGGCCGAAGTCCGGCAACACTTTATCTCCAGTCTCGTCTAAGTTAGGGTCCCTTTTTTCCCTTACAGCACTTCACCTCGCGTTGAAGTATTATACAAACTTTCCCGTAAACAAACGTCTCTTACGTGAACAGGAAACATAGAATCTGAATATTCATAAACATACTATGAACCTTTCGCGTATAGTAGCGCCGTACACGTGTACATCAGTTTTTCCATATTTTCTCATGTTTTGGCGAAAATTTACGGAAGTACGAATCTTTCTTACACACAGCACGCATTAGCCGCCATCTTTCGCACATCGACCCAATTTTTCCATACGCTGCACTAACGCGCATGAATCTTCTCAAAATTCTATTTTACTTGCGCTGCGTGCACTTTTGGATTTTCATCAAACTTATTGCACAAGGGAATATCGAGAAACGGGGCGATCCAAACGATCGGAAACATTGCTCGGTACATCTGGATAGAACCGATGGTAGGAGATTCCTTAAGCATCATTCAAGGAGTTGCAAAGAAATTTTAAATTTGAAAAATTAGTATCTTCGAATTTTGACAAACGTACGGAACAAAAATTGCAGAAATTACAAGTTACAAAAAACGCCGGTAATACGACTTGTTAGATACTGTGCACACCGATGGATATATTATTAGATTTAGTACAGAAAGGAGGTGAGGATGGTCAGTAAAGCGTTATTATTTTCTTCCCTTCGAAGAAAGCGCAAATAACGGTCGTATGATATTAGTATCAAAGTGTTTCATTCGGTATTTGCTATAGTAAATGATCAAAACAACGCGGTCAATTTTATTTCCCATAAAGATGGCGTAATATGCTGACTTTTCGATATACTATATACAGTATACTATATCGTATTGTTCGCGAATAAGTAGGCAATATTTAATAAAAAAATTCTACAAGAATTTATTAATTTATTCTATTATTTATAACTGCATTAAACAAACGAACACAAATTGCTGTTTAGTAGATTGGAAATAACGTTACTGTCTGCGTTCCGATCCATCTTCCTTGCCGATTAACCGCGGACTTACCGTAAAAGTGAAAATTTAAAAATAACTTTCTCTGGGACCTGTAAAGTTCATTTATATACATTTAAACATATGCGAACAGCATTATAATTATATTATTGCCGTATTATTGGTTTCCATATTCAAAAGTTCTTTCCATATGATTGGATGAACCGTTGTTGGATCCTCCTTTCTCGGTCGAGCGTCCATTTCAGCTTACCGGATTGCACCAATCGGAAATGGACGCTGGTACTGAAAGAGAAGTAAGCGTCGGCATTCTCGTGATATTGCCTGTTCGCAGATTTAACAACGGTATCAACCTTAAATCTAGTATGACGTTTATTATACGAGCAGCTGCTTGCGTTACACCAAAATATTATATTCTTTGTGAAAGGCCGGAACGACCGAGCGAAATATTGAATTGAATAGAAAAGAGTTGCTTTTGTTGCGGATTCTGAGTTACACAGTCGAGACGTAAGGAGCACGATGACGGATCTAACAGAGTTACGAATGAACGTGGCCGCACTGAAACGAGTAGATCCCTATGTGAAAGATATTTTGGAAACTGCGACGCACGTAGCACTGTATACATTCAATGCGGTTAATAACGAGTGGGAAAAAACCGACATCGAGGGTGCATTGTTCGTATACTCACGAAATGGCGAGCCCTATAACAGTGTTCTTATCATGAATAGGTAATATACATTAATCGTAAACACATTTTTATCTTACGATAGCTCGGATATATTTTTGCATATTTCAACAACTTTCCGAACGATATCTTGTTCTTCGATTATTAAGTTATAAACGTTCGTTATATTCTTAGCAAGCATGCTTTGGGTGAAATGCATCGGAGTACTTTGATTCTCTCCACCAAAACTCTGAAATTCCTATTTGAATAATATTTTTACAGATTAAATACGAATAATCTAGTGGAACCAGTTACACATGGTTTGGATTTACAGCTCCAAGAACCTTTTTTATTGTATAGAAATTCTAGATGCAACATCTATGGTATTTGGTTTTATGACAAAGAGGAATGCGTGCGTATTGGAGCAATGTTGAATAAACTGGTTAAGGAATCAGAGGAGAACCGTAAGGCTTGTGACAAGCCTGTTGTTAATGAGAAGAAAGATTCTGGTCCTAATGTGAACAATGTTGACATATTCAGTATGCTTAGCAAAGCTCAAAAAGATTTTAATACTAATAGAAATAGTAGTAGCATTGGAGGTGGAGGAGGAGGAGGTACAAGGGAGGGGCATAGCATTAAGTCTCCTCTAGTTATTCCTAATTCAGATAATGTATCTGGGCCATTGATTGCTCCATTAGGTCCAGATGTTACTTCACAGAGTGTGATGGACTTTTTTGCAAAAGCAAAAGTTAGTACTACATATAGAATATGATTTTTAATTATCAGTTTGTTTATGAATTCTTCATTTAGGCTTTAATATTATTATGTGTGTGAGGTTTAGATTAGGCGGGAAATATGCAGGTTATTACGATACTTTCAGGTTAATACTGGTCATTTTAAAGCTGGCGATCAGCCGACACCAGGGGGCACTGTTCCGAACGAGAGTAAACCTTTACTCGCACGGTTAATGTCGCATCCTGCGGCACACACGGTAGAACATATTGAAAAGCAACATAGATCAATAACTCCTCAACCGGGGACTCAACAACAATCTCAGACAACTCCAACCGCCATAATGACTGCTAATAACGTTGCCAGTAGCACGTCGTCGAACAAATCTAAAAGACGAAGCAAGACTGCTTCTCAGCCGGAATCAATGATACCTACACCAGCATCAATGACTCAGGATATTCCACCGCCTGTAAATTCAAATACTACGGATACGAATGGTACAACAGGCTTTCTGAGGATACAGTCACCGACAAATGTATCATCCTCTAATTCAACGAATCATCAGGCCTCGGATGTTATTGGTTCTAGTAATTCAAATCCACTTGCATCTTTGTTTGCTCATGCATCTGCTACATCGGTGAGTGGTTGCGTTGGATCGTGTTTAATCGTGCAGGTTTATTATAGGTTTATTCAGGTATAAAAACTGAGAATTTCTTATTGATTCAATTAGGCATCGGAAGATATCATTACTGCGCCCACTTTATCGGGAAGAGGATCGGCACCGGCATTAATACCTCCGGTCATGTTCGCGGCACCTAGTCCGCCTGAACCGTTAACGAGACCGTTAGAACCGTTGACGAGAAATCAGCTTCTTCAAGCTTTTAATTATTTGTTGAGAAGCGACCCAGAATTTATCAACAAACTACACGAAGCTTATGTCAAATCATTTGGCGAGATTCTGTCCTAAAACTATGATCTGTTAACTAAATGTAACTAGAACCCGTCATGCGGGTTGTGACGGTCGACTGATTACAAAAAGCATCGAGCAAAACCCTGGTATCCCTATGTTACGTGTACATAGATGGAACACTATTGTCTTGCTCGAAATTTCAATTGAACTTGACTGGTTAGCCCAATTTTGTTGGGGGAATGAACAAAGCATAGAGATACAAATGAAGATACATACCTTAAGCAGTATTTTTATAAGCTAAATACATTTTTTCCCAAGAAAGGAAACGAAATGGACCGCGAAAGCGAAGCAAGATTGAATAAAGAAAAGAATAAAAAAAGGAAATCGAGTGAAAATTAAAAAAAATGGAACGAAACAAGGAATGTGAAAATTGTACGATTTTAAACTGTGATGCCAAAAAACATTTATATTATTACTAAACTGTTTTATGGTTACTATTTCGAAAGTGGAACGAGACAAATTTTCTGAGCCGATCAAATCGATTGTTAATTTTACAGAATAATGACATACCCTTCCTATATATCGGGTATCGATATGGTATGTGTATGTAACTGATAAAAAAGGAATAAATAAATAGAGATCCGATTACTGCAAAAATTATTTCAATATATTTTATGTCGACTTCACTGTCGATTTTTATCCCTCGCAAGTAACTCGTGTAAAAACAAAGTCGTGGTACATATTTAATAAACATAATTATTATACAGTTATCATATTATCACAATAGTATAAGATTTATATGGAATACGATTACTATGTCAGGAATACATGATATATCAGGATAACTGATCTTCGACAGAAGGTGATCTACATAATTGAAAAAAAAAAAAAGAAAGAAAAAAACAGATATCAGACTTTTATTGTTCTTCGTTCAGTTTCATCGGTATTCTCCCTCGATAGGTAAACGATTATTCTTATTGCAGGATACACTAAGATTATACGTGTATCCTTGAATGAGATTATATTGTTACATTGGATCTTCTCCCATTAGATTTTCGTCTTTTTGAACATCGAGGATCGACGATACACATCGTGCAAACACGCCGTCTAAATAAGCGATTACCATCTAAATACCATAGAAAATACATACTCTATTTACAATGCTACAATAAAGGCGATATCATGCGTTCCATTTTTTTGTTTCTTCGCATATTAACGTCATGTACAAAGGTCCTGTTCTATTGGCCCTTTTCTCACTCTCTTCAATCTCACGACGATAATATATACTATATATATATATTTTTTTAATTCTTCGTTCGATATCGTCGTTCGATTTAACAGCAATCGATGCACAACACGCATTGTTATAATTTACAGCAGTCGCTCTTTCACAAAATTCACAGCCAAGTGGAGCTACGTAAGCCCGCTAGCTTTTTTTTTTCCTAGAAGATAGTCTTACTAAAAGAAACGTCTATCCGCGGCTAGAACACTTTATCAAAACGTCTTTGGATTGCGAGATATATTAAACGAGAGGCACTTTCGGTGGTCCTAATAATGGCGGCCCATTATCGGGCATCCGATGCGGTCCGAGCTTGTCTGCCTGCGTCGGCACTGGCTGGAGTAATCTAATAGCGAGACTGGCTAATATCAGCAGAACGATTAGACCGCAAATCGGTACGGCGATCGTGGCAGTCTTGAACCAGCCATCCGTTGACTGACCCCCATGATTGATCGGCTGCACCGGGCCGAGGAAAGGTCGTTGGTCACCCGCCAACACTGCAACAATAATAACAGTTCCTCGTTATGCCGCGTGCTTTGGAATCAATTATGCAAAAGATTTCATTATTCATCGATTCACACAACCTTCGACTTTCACTATTGTTTCAAATCCTCGCTTCCAGACTTCGTGGAAGTGGTGTGCATGTACAATATCGGACCATTGGAAATGGACGGATTCAAGGTTCTCTGTACGTAACTTACAGGGAATAGATTTGAATAATGGAATTAAAAGCGAAACCAATCGCGAATGTAATTTGTACTCATTTAATTTTGGGAAAGATTTGCAAAGAAAATTCTTTGAACCTTGAAGAGTCTTGTTGAGCCTGTTCCTCATGGCTGGACTATCCACGTGGTTGCAGAGATCCTGCTCGCAACAAAGATATCCCGCGGGACACTGTCGTTCCTTGAAGCTTTCGTCGAGACAACCGCTGTATGTGCTGTGCTCTGCTCTCAACAGCGATGGATTTGTGTTGGATGGTAGCTCGGTGAAGCAACCCCTGCCACGGCACATGTATCCTTGAGGCACGCATTCCGGTTGATTGCAATAACACCTTACTTCTTGAACGAAAGGGGAATCTGTAAATCAGAAAAAGGATATTCGGATTAATTAAAGCCCCGCGGAATCGAAGATAAAGGATACAAATGCAGATAAAACGAAGCGAATACAAGGACATCGGGTTGAACATGCTAAAGTACTGATCGTCGATAAAATCGAAAGAAGATTATCTTTGGAAGAAAGAAAGATTTTCATCTTCGAAATTGGAATACTGAAATTCAGATAGACTAAAGAGAGACATTACGACGCGGGAGGGAATGCTACGTTTTCTTCTTTGCAATGTTTCTGATGGTAATAGTGATTGGTAATAATAAATGACTCGTGTTGATTAATGATGCTGTATCATGGGTGGTCGATGTACCGTAACGAGTTTCGTACTTGTCCTACGTGGTATCATCTCGAATATAATAAGATTCGATCGTCGAAATTATGCGAGCGGAGCAACATGCTGCTCGCTTCGCTAATTGATTACAACTCATGTTTATTTATAAGCTCGTGCTCGATAAGACCATTCGAGGATGCGTGTAAATATTAGGTCATTCCAGAAGCTCTTGCCGTCACGAGACGGCCACCGTATATTTCTTTAAACAAAGAAATTAGTTCGATCGATCAATCGGAGTTGATCATCGACAGGAAGAACGGCGGGAAATTAAGAAACGATCCAATATAATTTTATATGAATATTCATTTTCACGTTCCAAGCGTTCGAAAGTATGGAAGATCGTTGATACCTGGCGGCGTCTCTTAATGAATAGCCGACTGAAAGTCATAAAAGATTATACTTTGCTCGTTGCAACAAGTACACGAAGAGCCAACTTTCATTTACCCGGCAGGTACCAAGCCTTCCTTTGTGCATCGAAGGCGACTCGCAGCTTTTTCCATGGTCCTTCAAGGATGATGTCTGAGCAGTTTTACAAATCAGAACGAGCGGGTTGCGTGTACAAATGAGATAATCGCGTCTGGAGCGTGTATTTGTTAAACAAATTGCTCGAAATAAATTTGCCGCCACTGTAAAAATTCTCTACCACGGAAAGAAATAAGAACGCCAAGATGATCTTCAACATCTTTTTGCTACGTAGAGGCTCGTAGCGGAGTGTCTGGAAGAAATCCACGCCGAGAAACACGGCCGATACACTGGGACCGTGTTTGACGTAGCGTAAATATACATTACACGGAGAGAGTAGAGTTCTCTCTGGTCCGTGTGTTAATGAGGACTGCACGAAATAAACAAAGAGACATGGAGCAGTTCGCGGTGACTAACCATCGTGCCGCTTGTTTATTATGATAATGCGAAGCCATCTTTATCCGTGACTTTACTCTTTCTCCTTCGTCGTCTCTCAGCCTCTCCCTTCGCTTCCCTTCGCTTCGCTTCGCGGGAATAATTTATTTTGCTGTACAAGCTGCCGTGCTGATCGCAACCAACCCGCGACCAATTCCGGTTCAACGTAACAGAAATTCATTCGTTTTCACGACCGTACCTTGTCACCGTTCAAATGAAACTCGAAACCAACCCGATAACATCCCTTCCTGCAAAATTACACGAATTTTTCGTCGATGTGCATAAAAAAAAGGGGGGAGAAAAGTTTGGTTCCGCAACGATTAACCAGAGGAGCCCGCGATTGTTTATTATGGTAATGCGGAGCCATCTTTATCCACGACATTGCTGTGTCCACCCCTCGAACCTTCCCTTTCCTCTTAAACGACCCTTTTTCTCCCTCCGAAGAACTTCTCTTTCTCTTCTGACTTCTTGCTAATAAGCCTGCAGCGATGCCCTCCTCTGGTGTCCCACCCTCTTCTCCCTTCGTGGCCGGGTCTCTGTCTTCATTGCGCGTCTCTTCTGTTTCGTCGACCAACTCCCGGCTCATCGGGGGAATAAAAAACACTAAAACGGCCGAGTCACAAAAGAAAGATTAAAGTGGAGAGAATATATGGAGAGGAGGCATGCGGCCCTCTCGTGTGCACCGCTGCTGTGCTGTTGTTGCTCTCTCACGAGTCTTCGCGAGCGATGAAGAGGACACGAGGAGACCTCATGAGAGGACCTTTAGGAAAACTTCTCTTTTTAACTCCAGATTGAGTAAACTTATCAAAGACATTTTGATTGATCTATGTAATTTTCTTATTTCGTTGATATTTCACTGGTCACTCGTTCTTCAGGGTGAATATTGTGATTATTTTATACAACAGGCACGTGTAAATACTCGAAGGGTTAAACGCTTTGTTAATTTGCCTTATCGTTGAAATTTCTTCTGGAATTTTGATTCACGCAGAACGATACGATTTTAAAGGTTCCCCTAAAAGGCGGGTCTTTTTTTAACCGTGGACCGCGGAGTGAGATAGGGACGAACTAGGGAGAACGGTACTCTGTTGAGAAACAGAAGGGGCTCGGGAGAAGGGCCGGCCTCGTGTGCGTTTAAAATAAAAAGGGAAAAAGGGAAGCAGCGGGAGGTCGAGTAGGCCCAGGCAAAAGAGAGATACGGCCGACATGCCTGAAGCCGAAGAAGACCCGTCCGAAAACAAACAGACTGCTTCGCGGGGTCGTTCGTTATGCGTCCATGGCATATTAATTATTTCTCGACCGTCTCTCCCTCCTCACCCATATTGCTCATATTTCTTTCTTTTACATTTTACGTGCTCTCTTCGGTTGCCAAACGGATTACAGGCTCGAGAAACGCACGCGAATCGATTTCATTTCATTGTATTATTATCCGTAGAACGGATTGGCTCGGACTTAAAAATTCCTAAAAATTGGCTCGATTCAACGAGGGACGCTGGTTTCGCTAAACAAGGGATACAATAGTCGGGTTGAAAGCAGAAAATTACAAAATTCGTTCCACATTCGACGGATCGCTCTGATTTAATAATGTTATAATGTATAATTTATGCAAATGCCCGTGTGCTAACATATCGAATAAAGATTCTGGGCTAAGAAGGGTGGGAGAGGAGAAGGTATAAATCGCGATGCCGCGGGCAAAAAGGTAGACAGGCTTGAAATGCTTGACGAACGTTCTCCTTGTGTGTTTTGCGATCGTAAAACTGTCTGATTTTTATTCGACTACTATAGACGAAATTCTTTGTATCTACGGATAGAAGGTTTTAGCGACGAACGTTATACGCGAACGTTCTTTCGACGAGGCTTAACCTTTAACTTGGTGACGTTAGATATACGAAGCCTGCCGGGACATTGGATCTATCTAACGAGATACACGTGCTGTTACTTGTAACTCTGAGATAAGCTTGTTTGTTTGTTAAAACTACAACAACAGGCTGAGAAGGGTTCGTTTGACCGGTTGCTTAATCAGCGTACTCTTTCTCAATTGCTCCT